TCGCCACTCTATTTAATCGCCAAGTTTTTTGTTTTATAAAATGTCTGTAAGGAGTTGCAACCATTACACCATGTTTCACATGGCATCTTTAAGTAATTAATAAAAAAACAAAGATTTGTCCTCTATCAGCAGTAGGCTTGGTGAAATAGGAGCACGCACTTACATTCTCGTGGGAACAACACGCAATATCATTGTATAAGAATGAATTTATTTTACATTCAAAGCGTCACGTAAAATTTAATTAAAATAGTGATTAGCTAATTTATTCTGCTCTTACAATACTTTATTAAAAGTGAAATAAGCCTTACATTAAAAAGGACTTTGACGTTCTCGGCTAGCTTTTGCCTCGAAAAACAAATGTGTCGTCGGAAATCGAACCCAGGATTCTCACAAACCTACAGAGTCTTGTACTTAACATTTACAACTATATTGAATTGTTAAAATCAAATGAACGTTTAGTACAATTTGAAAACTAAAATTAAATAGGTTATCAAATTTCATGTCATTCGCAAAACTCTTTGTTCTTATTAGCAATTGTATGAAAATTGCACGGTCTTAAATTTATATAAACCTTATATAATATCCTAAATTGAAAGTCGTTATACAGTGAGATAATAAAGTTTGCGTTTTATTAGCACATACGCAGACTCGTATTATGTGGATACGAAGTATGAAATACGTCTGACAAGAGCCCCCGGGCTTACTCGTACTGCACCTGCCGACTATCGTTAACATCAGGTCAATGAACTGTTACTGACTGAATTTCCAACGGGGAATATGTAATTGAAAATGTAAAGTTTTGATTTACATTGTTTACTCATTCATTTAAATCGGTATTGGAGCAAGGCTTATCGACGACTCATTGGTCTAGTGGTCAATACCCCTGACTGCGAATCCATGGGTCCCGGGTTTGATCCCCGGCAGAGACAAACATCGATGTGATGAGCATTTGGTGTTGTGCTTAGGTCTTGGGTGTTTAAATATGTATTTATATGTCTATCTATCTATAATATGTATGTATATCCGTTGCCTAGTACCCATAACACAAGCTTTACCAGCTTAGCATGGGACTAGGTCAATTGGTGTGAATTGTCCAATCATATTATTATATATTATTATTATTATCATCTAAGATATCACTTGGAGTAGTTAGTAGCTGTCGTAGAATCGTTAATTAATCGTTAAACCATTTAGTTATTTATAACTAAATATTGGTTTACGTGTTTACTTTATTTAAATAAAACTTCTTTGACGAATATAGGAGTTCGACGTTATGAGTGGTTTTCAGCAATCGTTGTCAGCGAGAGACTCCACCAATATTTGAGCTAACATCAAATTTAGTTATGAGTGTATCAAACCCGCTAGTGAAATTGTTTTGTATTGTTCTAATAAGTCATCTACAACAATTTATTCATTTGTTTTATTTTATATTTGTAAACGCCAAATGAAAGATCATGAATCTTAAAATTTCCGAAAAATATTCGCCACTAACGGTCCAAATCAAACATAATTAAGCAAACCTGCCGTGTCATTTTGTCACGACTTGCTGACAGGCTGTTTAGAAATAAATTGCGGACAGTGTGAATTGACTGGTTTAATAAAAAACCTGCCAGTAATGCGGCGGTAATTTATCTCAAATGCCAAGCGCACGTTGCCACTCCAATATACGTATAATATATGGTATAACTGCCCTCACCTAATATGTTAGGGCCATTGTCTCGCCGCAAATGAGCGGCTTTTTATAATTTATAAACGAATTGTTTTAAATAAAAAGCATTTTTAGTCTATAGTTTTTGTAAAAGATTGTATATTGCGTTTAATGATACAGAAAGCAGCGTAACTAAAGATCAAAATCAGTAAAATGAGTGGAATTAAGGTTTATACTGTTTAAACCTCGCTTAATTACTTAGATGTAAAACAATAATAATTTTATCTGCCTTATTTAGGTTTTTAGTCTCTTTAGTCTAGAGAAGATTAAGGGTCTGTTTCACAATGTACGGATAAGTTCTACATAAGTTCAAAATTAGCTACTTATTACTTATTGGTAGGATAAACATTATTGTTGCGTTTCACGACTGTCAGATAGCGCTATTCGTCACACAAAGTCCATCAAGTTATGAGTCCGATGAATGTCAAATAGCACAAAAATATATTCCAAATAATTTATGTGTTGCATAGCTATTTGGTACTTTATCCATACATTGTGAAACAGACCCTAAGAGTAATTAAGAGAAAGTTTAAGGAATTAAATATTATGACACTATCTGGTCAATGTATTCTTGAAGCCTCGTTGTATGTACAAAAAAAATATAAGCGATTTTAAAACAAATGGTGACTTTCACCAGTATAATACTCGAAAGAGAACTAATCTAAGCGTACGACCAACCAGTCTTCAGAAGATAAACCACTCCTTATATGGAAATTGTATTCGTTTTTACAACAAACTCTCAAGCCCTTAGAGAAAGATCACTGAATAAATTCAAAACTCTCGTTAATCAATAAAGCTTTTTATAAATTTGACGAATGTTTAAAAGATCCTAATTCTTGGGATTGATTTGTTCCAGTTCAAACAATTTGTATGCCTCAAAACTTGGCGATTAAAAAGAGTGGCGGAGAGTTTCTTTCCCGCTCTACGCCCTTGACATGCAAACTGGTAGTAAATGTAAATTTTGAATCAATTTAACATCTTTTCTGTTGGCATTCATAAGTGTACTTAGTTACCTATATGAATAAAGTTATTTTGAGCTTGAAGCACAGCAGTCCCTGTTGCTAAAATTGAGCGTTTTTGTTGTTGTTATTTTAGGGTATTTAAAGTCCCGTAATATTATGTAAATCACCCATTAAAAACCCCAGTTAAAAGCGGCCATTTGAAAATGAATGTCACCGTTTTGAAACATTCAAGCTGTGTAGATTGTATCAAGAGGGTGCCAGGTCCCCTTATGTTAATCTGCCGCACCTGAGTAAATCCAAAAATCCCCTATTAAGCCTCCCTTCTAAGATCTTAGCTCTCAATACTCACAGCCTATTTTCTCTTACATGAGATATCGTACTACTCTTATACATGTGAACTAATCTTATAAATGACACTCAAGCAATTAACAATTATACGCTGAACTTAAATTGTCTTTTGTTTTTAAATACTTACTTTGACGGAAAGAGATAAATGAGAACGTATGATTAATATATTGTGTATAGGGTTTAGAATAAAAGTTATTACCCTCATTTTATAACAACTACAAATTTGTGACCAAATCGATATGGGTGAAAGCACATGCTTTTCATACAATACTGATATTTCCGCTGGTGCTTACCCGCAACTGTATTAATTTTCATTATATAAATTCAATATAAAACTAATATCAACTTCAAACGTCTATGTCAAGCCTTTTAAAATGTGGTAGTTTATTTTTTTCTAGACTAGGGGAACCTCTAAAAACCTCCAATTACATATTTGATGTAACTTTAAATTATTTCACAGAAACAGTTTCTTGAACAAAAGCTTTTAACGGAGCCACAGATCGCTGAAACATGAAATACGACTTTTGTAATAATTAAATTTTGTTGGAAGTTACACAGATTTAAGAGGGCCTTACGTAACAAAAGGAACAACAAGTAATTAGGAGTGACATCTTTTTCTGACAGATATTCGCTTACAGCCGCCATTGTGGCAGAAAGTTTAATGGCGTTCAATATTTTCAATATTTATGACTAGGAGACGAGTTGTGATATACTAATTCTATTAATATAATAAATCTTAATTTATTAAGAGAGTTATTTGTTTAATTACTTTATCATTCATTTTTGTTATTTCTTTTATCTTGTTCTCTTTTTTTGTGTACATATAAAGATTCGGTGCAAAGGAATTGTAGGTATATAAATGTTTCTGTGTAATTTTTTGTGTCACACAAAATTAATATTCTATACCCATAACTATAATAATTGTAACCCTAGTTCCTAGACGACTCTTAAGCTTGGAGGGCAATGTACAATATATATGTTATTAATACGTAGTTCTACAAGTACAAACAGCACTGATATCGAAGGCCGGTGTTAGTGACGAAGGGTTGATCACCTGATTAACATATAATTAAAACTAACCAAGAAAAAAGGCACCCAAAACGGGGTTGTAGCGCCAGTATTTTTTTTAAATATGGAAGACTTCGAAACTTTACCATATATATATGATTTAAGGTACATTTGTTATTCCTGGAATCTGTAAAGTCAGGTCTTATACCTGAATAAGAACAGACCTTTACATGTTCATTGTATAGAAATAATTTTTGATAAAAAATAATTAAAATTATGTACAATAAAAATAATATTTTATATAGATAAATAGGAGTTTCATTTTTCTTACTCATTCAATTGATAATAATTTGCGTTTAAAAGTCATGACGTTCTAAAGAAAATTACTGTATTCCGCTGCTATAAAAAGCTGTATTTTTATATTTTCAGATGAATTAAAATAAACTACAGGCTCCCATAACTCAAAAATTTTCTCTGATATTCACATTTACGGAAAACTAACGTTAACTTGTTGTTTTCTAAGTTATTTCACTGAAAACTAGATTAAAAATGTTTCAACAAAAAGTTTATACAATTATTAGATACCTTTTATTAGTGTTTAAGCATTTTATACATCTTCTAAATATGCTTATAATATTCACTTAGGTATTCTAGAATATTGCTTATTTAATTGTTATTTATCTCTATGACCAAATGACGCTAGTAACGACACACGATTTTAATATATAGAAGTTAAAATTAATAACAATACACATACTTTTTAGTTGCATTTTATCTACTTAAAATGTGGCGAAACTTTTGTGCTCAATCATTCATTTTAATTCTTAATTTATAGAAGTCGCATTAAAACTTGCATATTGTTACAGATCCAGCAATGACAGTGCGAATAAAAGATGCAAATCTCTGTAGGTAATTTCGAAATCCACACCACAGCGGTATCGAATTGAGAATACATATACATGTAAACTACAGCGATGACTTGTAAATTGATACACGTGCTAACCCTAGCGTTGGCAATACAGATAATTGGTGCAACAAGACTGATGTGCCCAAGTCACCCTAACTGCGTTTGCGGTAGCACGTTCCCTGTCGAACTCAATTGCAACATCGACGGTGAGTGCACTTAAATGCTCACGTTTCCAATGCTCCTATTGTTTTACCTACAGCAACCCGTCATGACGGAATAATCCACAGTTAACATTTTTTGTTACAGGTAGCATCGTGACAATAAGTTTTCTACCAAACACTTTCATCAATGTTAGATGTGAAAATGCAACCATACTCAATTATAAACGGCTACCAAAGTGTGCCAATGAAGTTGAGACATTCAAGTCGGTTAGTTTCAAAGACTGTCCCCTACCCTCATCGTCATTCAAAGATGTCTTAGAACAACTCGGCGTGTCGAAAACAATGTCATTAATATTTCAAAATGCAAAGAACCTCTCCGGGTATTTTGATAGAAGACATTTTACTGGATTGAGAGATTTAACTAAATTGCTACTTTCTGTTACTGGCACTACACAGCTGCCCGACAATCTATTCATGGATGTGAACAATTTAACATGGCTGAACATAAGATGTAACAGTATAAATATTTCTGAACAACTATTTAAGCCTCTTGAAAGATTGGAGACTTTAGAAATAAGTCATAATCAAATGACAAATATGTCTACGAACTTATTTTCCCACTTGTCATTTTTAAGGAAGCTGTCGCTTTGGCAAAGCAATGTCACGTGGTTCTCTAAAGACTTCTTCTCGGGCGTAAACGTGCTTGAAGAATTAGATCTTAGTTCTAATGGACTTAACGAACTCCCGACGCTTATTTTTAAACCTCTAAAGAAGTTACGAAAACTCACATTGTTCTCGAACAAGTTTTCGACTTTACCACAAAATCTATTCTCAACAAACAATAACTTGGAGACGGTAATAATTCTTAACAATGATGTTAAAATGAAAGAACTTCCACGAAGTTTGTTAGGCAATTTACAAAGTTTGAGACACATTTATATACAAAGGTGTGGTATAGAAATTTTACCGTACGACCTATTTGTTAATTCATCGCAAATAACGAACATATCACTGGCATACAACGATATTAGATCATTACGAGAATCGACATTTAACGATCAAATAAATTTGCTTGAACTCGATTTAAGTCACAACAACATGAAAACTTTGGAACCGAAGCTATTTTCCTCATTGGTAAGATTGGAAAAATTGGAATTGGCTTATAATTCCATTGAAGAAATTTCCGGGTAAGTCGGTCGTAATCCTTTGTTGAAAGTTCACTATTAGTACAACGTATTTCATTTTTCCTTTAAATTTCAGATCGACGTTTTCTTCATTGCTCAGTTTAATATACTTAAATATGGAGCATAACAATTTGAAAACTATATCCTCATACTTATTTAGTAATAATAAACAAAGAATGTCAATATCTTTTGCATATAATGAACTTCACTTTAAAAATAAGGAAGTGCAAAATAACTCTTGGACAAGTAATACAATCTCACCGTTTGCACATACATTTAATTTGAAATTGCTCAACTTGAGTCATAATAAATTCGAAGCTACGTACGATGATTGGTGGATTAATGGTCATGAACATTTGGATATCAGCTATAATTACATCAACTATTTATGGGTATGTATATTTTATTAGTATAAAGACTAATTACAATTTAACAACTTTTGCAACTTTTGCTTTATTGTAGGCAAACAAAATAATATTAGTGCCTTAATTCTTAAACAACACAGAACATTATCAACAACTTACAAACGAATTAAACACTAATAATATTATTAAATTTAATTTATTAATACCAATTAAGTATTAAGATTAATGTCTGCATCATATTCATAATAAAAATTGTTAAAGAAAATTGTTTACAATTTTAATAGTTATCTAGTTTTTGAAAAAACGTATTCGTCATTATAGCTTTATATTTAAAGCATTTTAAATCATACATAATTAAAGACTCGTTATTAATCATGGTATAAAAGCATTGTTCCATCTGTTTTATGGATTATTTATTTTTATTATTGGTAACTACTATTAATAAAACTATATTTCGTCGGAAATTAAAGTTATAAATATATGTCATAGAGGCTGGGTTCAGTTTCCAGCAAAATAAAAATTATTTCGCTTTAACTACCACAAAACTTACTTAGCTTTTACAAATAACAAACTATACGCTAATAATAGTTAGTTTTAAACGTTTACTCACATTCCAGAACCATCCAACATCAAGTTATAAAACGATTGGCAAAAAGTCAACGAAACAACTTTGGGTTGCCCATAACCCACTCAATTGTAACTGTAAAAACTTTAAGTTCCTCGACTTCCTAAAGGAACATTTTAAAGCTCAGGTTTGTAATATTGAACGAATAATTGACAAATATCAGTATGTTTTTATTCATAGGTTTCATTTTTCAGATTAAAGACGAATCTACCATACAATGTTCAATTTGGCGCAAAGAGGCTTGCAATATGCGATTCATCATATTTGTCTGCTTTATTTCTATAACAGCTTCAACGTCTACAATCATCATGTTACTATATCTTAAGTACCGTAAAAACTTACATTCCATGATCAAAAACAACCTATACAAAGTGTCGCACCCTAATGAAGTCAAACAAGAGCGCACAGTGATTATTAAATATTCTGAACACGACGAAGAATTTGTACTAAAGGAAATAGTGCCAGGCTTACGAGTTCATAAAGGTATTAAAGTTCACACCAAACCCATAGCAAGTGACTGCAACAAAGAAAATTTCATTAAACAGCTCAAAAATAGTTCAAAGGACGGAGACACGACGCTGGTTATTTTTTCCCCAAACTACTTAATGTCAGCTTATAGTCACGTAAACATAAAGAAAATTCGAGGTGAAATGCTGAAAGCGAAGAAGACGGTTTATGTTTTTACGGACATGGGTACAGAAAATTCGATTTACGCATTCTTAAAGGAGCAAAGGGATCGGCGAACGACAATACTCTGGAATAATCCTAACTTTTGGAATATTTTACTACCGGTACTGTCAAAGGAGAAATTCAAATTGACATTTCGTGTGAAGGATAGTGTGAATGCAAAAATTCCCGTCAAGGCATTGAAATCAGACGTACAATCTTTAGATCCAACTTGTTTGCACTATCAGGTTTAGTTCATCTCATTTTCTTTATGAGGTAAAGACTGAATTCTCCACCATCTTATTCACATTTGGTAGTTCCAAACCACTTATTATTTTATATATCTTAGGTATATCTTAGGATGTTAGTGTAAATTTTTATAAGCTATTCTAAAGGTAAGATATGTACATTGCTGTTATAAGGTATTCATCTATTTATTTAGCATTCTTTGTGTGGGTGAACCTACAAGTGTTTATCAAACTTCGAAGAAGTTCAATGTATTCGATAAATTATTAATGTTTTTATTACCAATGTAAATATGATGCGTTTAGATTAAACATTTAAGTTTCATGGAAACTGTATGTTGTTAAGTTACAGCTTAAATTAAATAAACAATACTTTAATAGTCGTTTTATTTAACTCCCACATAATTAGTCATGTTTATACATATTTAAAGTAGGTAAGTAGGTTTGCTTTTGATAAAATAAAACATCAAAAATCTGTATTAAAAACTTAATTGTGTGTTATGCGTTATGCAGACCAAAAGACCTTTATTAAAGAAATTAGAAATGTATTAAAAATAAAATAGATGTCATTGACTAGGCAGTTTCTACTATAACTAATTATCTAAAACAGCATGTATGTAGAGCATTAAGCTTGAGGGTTGCGACCTCTCAACCCTGAGGTCCTGCGTTCTAAGCACGGTCGTGCACCAATGGACTTTTTATGTGCAATTAACAGTTGATCGTAAGGTGAAGGAAATAATCATGTGGAAACCGGTGTGTAATGGTGGCTGTACACACTCGGCGAGAGCCTCTCGCCGAGAGTCTCGACCGAGAGGACCGAGAGGACCGAGAGAAGAGCGCAGCCTGTACACACTCGTTACGTTATTTGTATTTAAAACACCGTTAATAATGGACGTGGAAACCGCTGCTGCTGTTTGTCTTTGTGCAATAAGTTATTATAATTTTCTTCACGTTTACCATAAAAAAAAATTACGAAGCCATGGCGAAGAAGAAGATGGTGGATGGTTACTATGCACCGCAACAGAAATAGGTAATTAGGTTCATAAAGTTACGTCCACGGTACGTAGCCATGAGTGAATCTCGCTTTTTCTTTAGTTCCTCAATTGGGATATCCATCGGCCGGCTTATTCGCATCCAAGCATCATGTAGAGATTGTTTATTTTTGTGTCCTACATCCTTCGGATTCCATAACAACGATTCCCTTTGGTAACACTCCTAAAACTCTAATTCGCGTTCGTTAGACCACATTGTGCGATACGTCCTGTCACAACCACAGTCATCGAGCAAGTGATTGAACGAGTGTGTACAGGTCGCTCTCGTTTTACTCGCGAGACCCTTTGACTCGTGCGCAAAAAACCGACAGGCGACCGAGAGAGGCGAGACCGACTGCGAGGAAGCGAGGCGAGACGAGAGCTCTACTGTACACTCTCGCCCTCGGCCTGTCTCGGGGTGTCTCGCCGAGTGTGTACAGCTACCATTAGGCATAGAAAGCCTAACTTACTAGCCTATTAAAAATAAATAATGATCACGGAACAGAGACAGAAATCTGAGGCCTGACTGAGAGGTTGTACTGCGATATATAATATGTATTTGTATTTAGTGGAAGAAAAGTTATATTTTATTATTACACTTAAATTTTTCAATTAAAAACGTCTTTTATTATTGCGCTACTGTTTTTTGTATACAAAACTTCAAAAAATTCACATAATAGAAATGGCTGCGGACGCTCCTGATGAAGGGTAACAAAACAGTGTTAGTGAAAAAATCATTTGTTTGCAAATACAACACACTGTAGCAATGACGATTTAAGTCGTATCAAATTAATAAACTTTCCGATATCAGCATTACAGATATTAAATTGGAATTGTATCGTTAGATTGCAGTAGAGTTATTTGAATCGGCACTTTGTTTGTGCCAAATCCAGCTAATTATTGAGTCGGTCATTGGAAATTATATAGCTATGTAACTTTGCATTAATGTATTGATGAAAGTACATACAATTTATAACTTAATTGTTCTAATACAATTTCTAATTTCATAATGTTTTTTTTAGAGGTTAAAAAAATTATTGGCATTTTGTATCATAAAGAATCACACGCACCTGTTCTCTTAATCATCACTCCTTATAGGCAAGTAAGTGTTCAACCTATGTGACACAAGTTGTTGAAGAAACGTTCCGCTTAAATGCTTGAGGTAGGTTCAGAAGTGGGAAGTACAAGTTGTACCGCGCACAAATAGTTTGTTTTTAGTGAGTGCCAACTCACTGCCTTAGGGATAAAAGTTTATCCCCTGAGCTATTACTCCTCACTTATAATATGATAAAGAGTAATTTTAACATAAATTATCAATAACTCATCAATGCGATATTATTAATGTTGAAATGTTGGAACTTAGGTATTTCATGAATAAGTGTTATGATGAACCAGAAATTAAATAGGCAAACCAGTCAACCAAAATTAAGGATTAATGAAACGATTTACATAAACATCTACCTCCTATATATACTTAGAAATATATGAAAACCAATCTGTTAATAAAATAACGGTATTACGTTGTAGGTAATATATAAGTTTTCCAACGAAAATTATGCTCGAGACAGTGTGAAATTGATAAGAACGTATGATAAGAAAACTTTGCTGAAGTTTAAAAAACATTATAGAAATTTTGATGCATCTTGTTAAAACAAAGTTGCTTAAGAGATAAAAGGTTATCGTCAAATTATACAACAACTCCTGTCTAATTTAAGCTTACAAAGTTTTACCGCAATGATCTGCTTGCATTCAATACAACTTATTTTTTATTTGAATTACGGGTAGCCGAGTCACAAAGTAAGCAATAAAACGCAAAACCACACATAACACACAACCCTTCACAAAACCAATGTTATCTCATATTAGTTTAAAACAAACGAATATTTGATTAAAAACTAATAATTCAGAAAAATCATATAGGTAAGGTATGACGCTTTCGGCTCATTAAAACAAAAACAGGCAAGTCCAAATCCAAATTAACTTTTCTGTAATGAAAAGCTAAGTTCAATATTATATTTAAATCATATATACGATTACATCAAACGTTCAAGCTCATCCTCACTGACAAAAGTATGTGAAAATAGCCAGCCCTTTTTATGTAAAATTTATGAAACGAAATTGAGTATGGCGGACACCATTCACTCCGAGACCATATCAGCCGAAACCTCTAATATTTTAGCTTGAAAAATATCTGACAATTTATTCAAGCGTAAAAAATTGACCGCTTGGGCTCTCGAACGTCATTTTTCACAGGCGAGTTGATGATTCGAATTTCGTATGCCATATAAAATGTATGGACCGACCTTACTATGCGAGTTTTATCGATACAATTTCAATTTAGCCAAACCACGCTGCCAAGCTTAGATCGCGTCATTCGCGTGTATTTGAAGTTAACTGCAATCGAATTGTCGGGAAATTGTTTGGAACATTTTGGAATTTCGTATCAGTTATTGAATAAAATGACATTCAGTGTTTACATGAGTATAGTAAATATTATTTTAGTACAAACTAACCGCTTGTGGGTTTCCTAATGACGAGTACAAATGCCGTGGCTTTATATTTAATGTGTCAAATAAAATCGTAAAACAAAAAAGTTATAGGTAGTGCAGGCACAACCTATACGATTTATATATGTGATAGCTGAATAGCTGACGTCAAATAAGTGTGACATAGTAATGATACTGATGGATAATAGTATGATTTTACGTTATAATTATAGTTGGAGATAGAAAAAGAAAGTCCTGTGAACTTCGTTAATTTATTAGACATATTAAAATAATTTTTATATTCTTTTAAAATAATTGTTATACATTTTAAAGGAACTTTTAGTAAAAATGCAGGCAAAAAATGTATGTATATAGATGTAATCTCTAAGATTCTACTTTAATTAAAGATTACACCCAGTTCATAAATAGCTTTGGAATATATTGTCCTAATTACTTTCGTATTATTTTAAGGCATTGTGACAAATTTTTTCGTTATTATTTTTTAGTTCTATTTACGCCATACACAACATATATGAATAACAATCATAATTCATGAGTGAGTAATGTTTAAATGTAGTTTTTTGGCTTAATATTAATGTTTCTGCGAGTCGGGGTAACAATATTTTTACGACCCCAAAAAGCCTAGTGAACTATAAAGACTAACTTAGAACGACGAACTTACATAGAAAACACGGGTCTAGAAAACGTAGTCAACGGTTTATGCTGCGATTGACGCACAATCTTGTCTCTCTGGAAATCATATTGGAATATAAGAAATAATATTTACCAGGTAAACGATACTAATCTTTACAAAGAGTAGTTTTTCGCCACGTGTAAACTAATATCTTAGCGAACAGATTTTAACGCAGTTCCATCTATAGACAATTAGACATAATAGTTTAAGATGAATTGCTTTATAGAACCGGATGACTAACGGCTCACCTAAAGTAATACCGCTTATGGAACCACATAATGCCAGAAGGTTAAGCGCGTTGCCGGACTTTTAAGAATCGGAACGTTCTATTTTGGAAATTCTGTGAATGAAACAAAAAAAAAAGTGCGTGTGTACAAAGTACACATGTCAGAAGTGAAACTTCTTTGGCAAACAAATTTTTAAATCAGGGACGGAGAAAAAGGAAAATATGTTAGGAATTTCATGAACTTAATTGTCATTAAAATATTAAATGTGTCGATAATAACAAATCATATTTTTTTTTTTAAATTTATTTCTTCGATAATAAAAACAAGTGGCATTTTAATTTACAATTCGACATTTGAGATTTCAATTATTTTGCATAAAATATAAAATACTTATATTTCATAATTTCTTTTCTTTTTCTGAAATTTTTATTTTATAAACAGAATTTCTACCTTCTTACTCTCTCTCAACTCTCTCGCTCTCTCCCTTTTCTTCGACAAAAACGCTGCACATCTTCGTGACGTTCCGTAAAAATTTTATCCTCATGCGCCTAAAGAAGTTTCATTTCAAAAA